TTTCCCTAGCCATTCCACTCCCAATTCTGTTTTTATTGCTCATATATGTGTTCCCAAATTGCTCTGTATTTCTCGTTAAACACTTGTCGTATGGTTTTGTAATTGTCCGTTTTCTCATCTGTTCACTGTTCGATTTTAGATTTGTAGAGATTTGGGAATGTGCCTGTCACTCACTTTTCTACCCCAAAACGTTTTTGATAGTCTCTGGCATAGTGTTAGTATTTGTTGAATGAATAAATACTTTATGCGAATGTATTTATGTTCTTTGTGGGGTTTTTAGTTTTAAATTGTTTAATTCATTTATTTATAATAAAACAAATGTTAATTTAGTGCCAAACATATGCCAGGTAGTTGGCTACACAAAGTCTTACTCAGAAAGAGCTTATAGCCTCAGAGAGTGAAATAGGTATAGTGCTTTGAAGATGTCTAGTTGGAGGAGTGTGCTAGAGAGTAAAAATGACAGAAGGACTTGCTGCTTTTTATCCAGAGTGGTCAGGGAAGACTTCTGTTAATAGGTGACATTGAGTTGGAACCTTAACTAAGAGAAGGGAATAGCCTTAAAAAAATTTGGTTAAAGAGGATATTCTAGTCAGTGGGAAAAAAGACCAATTATCCTGAGTAGAGTGACCACAAGGGAGTTTAGGATAAGCTGGTTTTTATAGAGATTACCTAGCTGTACACGAAGAAAAACTGCTTTTATGATCTGATTGTATACCCTGTGCTAGTCAGTTGTATGAAAAATAAATGTTTTGGTTATAGAGGGCATTTGGTGAAAAAAATGGATAGATTGCATTTTGGATTTTTGTCAACACTGGAAAGACAAAATATGTGGTTTGTGGGCTTATTTTTGATCCATGAGTTGAAAAATTGAAACAACTTAATAAAACTCAATTAATTTAAAAAATGAATATACCTACTTTGTGGGTAAAATTTTTAGAATTTTTTGGAAAAGTGAACATTCCAAGTTCCTTTAATTTTGATGAACAATTTAATTTCTTTTGGAAAGAATTCATATGCTTTCTTGTTAATAACTAAGAATATAAAAATATCTTGTAAATGAATTAATCTCTTATGTTTTTATTTTAGATTTTGAAGATGATGATCTCTATGGCCAGTCTGTAGAGGATGATTATTGTATTTCACCATCAACAGGTGAATTTAGAAAAATAGTTTAATTTTCATTATTTGAATGTTTAAAAATGTTAAGTATTGTCATTCAAGGACTAGAATGTTCCATAAGACTGTAATGTTATGTAGCAGTTAAAAAGGTAATTAAATGTTAACTTTTAAAGGTAAATAAATTAATTTCTTTATCCGAGAATAGAATTTAAAGTTTTGATTCTATCATTTAGCTTTAAACAGTTTGAAGAAAACTCTGAAAACCGTGGCTTTTCCAGTATTTGCACTATGCAATTAATCTAAAGTGTACTAAAATGGTAATTTTATCTAAAACTAATACTTCTGAAGGCAGACAGCAGTTAATTATATATTCTCAGGAATCTCTTGAATATTAGAAACATTGAGGTGTTATGCATAGAATTCCCTTCATACAGTACTTTAGTTATCTACTGTTAAACGATTTGGTAAATAAATCAAATACATATAGTTGAGACTTTTGATGGGGCTATAGTGACTTAGAGTTCAAATTCCACATCAGAGCTTCATCTTCTGTCTAATCTGCTGAGAGATTTCTTCTTTGCCACCATATAAAGCAAACATTCATATGTTCTTTCCAGCAAAGGCAATCTTTGATACAGACTTTTCTCTCACTAATTTCTCTAACAGTACAATTGTCTTCAGATTTTATCTACTATATAAACAGTTGGTTAAAAAGTCTTGCTAAATTTTACTATGCCTTAAAAAGAGTACAATCAAATGGTTATGTACAGTGTAAATCTAATTCATAAAACTCATTTTCCACAAGTTAAAGGTTTAATATAAAATATTCATCAAAGTCTGCCTTTTCTTTAATACACTATTGTCTCCTGAGCTGTCCTGTAAACATGTACCACTTTTAGACCAAATATGTCTTTTCTGACTTTTTAGAACTTCTTTTTCTTCATGAAGGCATTGATCCTCTAGAACTGCGGTCTCCAGCCTTTTTGGCACCAGGGACTGGTGCTCCTCTGAGAATCAAATGCCTGATCTGAGGTGGAACTGAAGCGGTTCCTATGCTAGCACTGGGGAGCAGCTGCAAATACAGATGAAGCTTCGCTTACTCGCCACTCACCTCATGCTGTGTGGCCCGGTTCCTAACAGGCCATGGACCGGTACTGATCCTTGGTCCGGGGGTTGGAGACTCCTGCTCTAGAAATGTCTTAGCACTTCTATTCTTTCTGTCATTGTTTTTTCTTGTTACTCTGAAACACAGCTAGGTCTTTTTTCCTCATTTGGCCTAACTGATGAGGGCCTTTCTTCTCTTCCTTTAATGTTACACTGTTACCAGTCAGGATTCTGAAGATAGAACTTGTACCAAGTACTTTGCCAGAGAGAATTTAATATAAAAAATTGTTAACTAGATATCAGAAAACAAAAAAAATGCAAAATGGACAACCTAAAAAATATCAAGGAGGTAGTAACCTCGGGAAGCATCTACCAGCCTAGTGGAACAAGTGAACGAGGTTGAAACCAACCTTTTAGAGCTTTTGGAGGGGCTTCTCGGAGCTGGGACTTAGACCTATGATGAGAGGGGGTTCTACTTTGTTGCTTTGTCTCTGAAGTTCAGAGGAGGGACTGTAGAGCTGTGACTCAGACCTCTGGAAGAGGGAGACACTGCATGGCTGGTACTTGTCTCTCTAAAGGGATCCTGTGAAGCTGGGATTCAGCCTTTTGAGGAGGGAATTCTGGCTAGTCATGGTGCCTGGGGGATGTATATGGGGGCACGTTGAATTTGGTTCTGGGAGTTTTGGAAAAATTGCAAACCGGTATTGATTGCTGTTACTGGAACAAACTGCTTCTGTAAGGTGAAGTATTACTGGGGTGACAGTGTCTGGATAAGAAGCAAAAAAGAAAGGAGCATGTGTCTTCTCTGACCTTCTAGTATCTCTTTAGCACCTGCCTAAAAGGGAGCCAGCTGTCAAAGAAGACATGTGCTTTGCAGAGACTTCAACCCTAGCATCACAAAACAGTAAAGAAGACTGGAGCAGAAGCTGAGAGGTGGCTTAATCAGTATTCCTTTAAAGCTCATTCAGGGATTCAAAGACCACATATTGTAGGGATTAGGAATAACCCCATTGGGCTCCTATAGTTCACTATTACAGTCGACTAGGTAACAATGATGTCTGGTAGCACTAAATTCATTACTCATACTTTAAGCAGATTAAAGAGCATGGCATGTTCATGACACTGAGTAGATGTAGTTGTGATAATTAGATTTAAAAAAAAGATCTCTTCGAAGTAGTAGAGACTGGATTGAAGGCAGTACATAAGTGGATGTAGGTAGATTAGTGAGGAGACTATTAAACTGATCTAGAAGAGATGAAGATATTTTAGGACAATTCTCAGAATGCGGTCCATATACCATTAGCATCACTTGAGAATTTGTTAGAAAAGTAATCCTTGGCCCTATCCCAGAGTCGAAAACTCTGAGGGTGGGGTGCAGCTACTGTTTTAAAAGACTTCTAGAGGATTCTGAGGTTTGCTTTGAGAACTATTTGTTTAGGATGAGGGTGGTAGCATTAGATTTGGGAATAGGTTCAAGAGATAATTACAGGAGTTAAGGTCTACAGGAATTGGAAGTTGGTTGAGTGTGGCTTGCATAAGGGTGAAAACCTTCATGAAGAGAGGGAATATAGAGAAACATCTTAATATTATAGGTTAACTCATTTATTTATCTAGTCTTATCTGGATTAAGTCATACTCAGTCTTGAGTAATGAGCTAAGAGTACACAAGTTCAGGCATTCTGAGGGTGTTTTTCTAAGACTTGCATTTATGGCCTAGTTTTCTTGAGGTCAGAATTTACCCCTGTCTTTCACAGCTCTTGCTATATGTCTTGCATGTGGTTCACGTCCTGGACAATATGACTCTTTGAGAGTTACTTTTATACACACCAAGAAGTCAACCAACTTTATCAAAGCAAGAGATAGGTAAATGGTTTTGAGTTCCTTTTATAACAAACTGGTAATTTTAACAAAAGCATGTGGTTTTGGACTTTTTAATTTTTTAAAACATGTATGGTCCTGTGCCACATAACAAGCATAACAAGGTTTCGGTCAATGACAGACCACATATACGATGGTTGTTTACTATACAGCTTAGGTGTGTAGTGGGCTATACAATCTAAGTTTGTGTAGTACACTCTGATGTTCACACAGTGACAAAATTTCCTAATGACGCATTTCTCCGAATGTATCCTTGTTGTTATGTGGCGCATGACTGTATAAAATAACAGCAATATCTGACCAGAAACTTACTTTTCCTTTTTAGTAGTTTGTTTTCCAAGTGATTTTCAAAGAAAAATGAAAAGTTTTAGCGGGATATTTTCTTAAAGAAGCATTTAATATTATTGAAGACAGAAGATTATATTTTTGATCTAATGAATTCTGATAATGGAGTGACTGTCAATTAGAAATTTCTAAAATTCATCAGCAAATATTTTTTTTTTTGAACTCTACTAACTACAACTTTTCTGATGGAAAAGTGATTTCTAAACATTACAGCTTTTTTTCCCTTAAGAAAGATTGACTTTGATAATGAATATTGAACATACATCAAGGAGCTGGAGATAGCAGAAAGAGCCTATGTACAACAATTTATTTGAACAGTTATGAATTTTGTTTTAACTAATATAATTAGGAGTGTTAAAAGATAAACTCAGGCATGCTAAGATTTTTTTAAAGAGTTTATTTGGGAAACGTCAATTTTGAATCAGGCAGCTCCAAACTGCAAGTGGTTAGGAGCACTCCACTGCAGGAGCTAGGGGCAAGGTTTTCATAGAGAAGACACAAAGCAAAGCAAGGAAGTTGTTTGCTTGGCTATAGCTTAAGTGTTTATTATTATTTGGGAAAGCCTAGTTGACTTTTTGTGATTGGTTGTTATTCTTAATCCTGAGGCATTTACAAGAATCTACTAGCTTAGTTTTCCATTTGTCACCAAGTTATTAAAGCCATCTCAGTCTAATGGTCTCCTCATATGATTACTTTCACAGTGGTAATCCGTATTCAGTTCATTCCAACTCATAATCTTTATTGAGCATCAATGTGTAAGCCTATTCTAATAAATTTATAAATTAGAGTCATATGAGGCAGTCAGTTACAAGTCTCATTTAAAAAACATACTGTGCAACAGTATGATGGGTAAAGAAATAGTCCTGCCTGAAGGTGTCTGGAAAGGCTTCTGGAAGGAGGTGGGTTTGGGACTGGTAAATTTGGGAGTAAGAATGGCATTGTAGATAGAGGAGACAACAGTGCTGGAGCAGTAGGCTCTAAGTGAAGTGTGTTTGGGAAGACTTACAGAATTAATGGAGTTGCAGCAGGAAAGAGGGCTAGGAAAGAAAATAGGAGCCAAATTGTGGAAGTCAGGTTTTAATTTTAGGCATGTAGAGTCAGTTTATTGGAGGTTTTTGAGTAAGGGGTAATATTTTAGGAAAGTAACTGATGATGGAATGAATAGAATACAAAGTAGACTACAGGTGAGACAGGTGGAGGGGGTACTTGTAGGCTAGTGCTTCCTAACCTTCCCTGGTAATACCAGTCAGCTGGGAGTGATTTTAAAAATGCAGATTCCCTGCCCTATTCCAGCACCACTGAATCAGTACCTCCAGGGAAAGAAGTCTAAAAAGCCACATCTGTAATGAGTGCCTCACATGATTTTTATTTTAAGATGTCTAGGAAACAAATTTAGGCAGTTTCTGGAGTCAGATTTTGAATTCTTGAAACTTCTATGTTTGTCAAAATGCCTTAAATTTTAAAAGTCACTATAGATGTCCAGTTTTTCTGTAAGCATTTACATTTTTAAAAAAGAATAGCATTTTATATTCTTTTTCACCATTGCTTTTCTCTCACTCTTTTTATTGTATTTATTGCCTTTTTGGGTTCTCATTTCAGCTTCAGAGATTTGGACCTCCTTTTTCTCCCCTCTAAGTAGCTATTTTCCCCGGGGAATTTTCTTTCGCTCTTCCTCTCCACACTCCTCAGCAGATTTGTACTTCCAAAACAATATGTCCATAGTTTAGGTTTCTGAGTGGAGTTCATGTGTGGGTATGATGTAGGATCCCACCCCACCTCCCCTCCCCTCCCCGAGAAAACAGTTCCTAGGAGTTAGAATGGAAGCCGGGATATTGACAGCTTCCTTTTCCCTGTTAATATTTCCTAAGTGAAAATTGTTGAGGGAGGTATCTAAGGTCTTGCCTCACTTAATTTTTGATTTATCTTAGGCTTTTCTCACAGTTGAGATCTATGAGCGGAAGTTGGGGAAAGTATATTACTTTTAGGCAAAACTGAATAGTTTGTTTGAGGCAGGAAAGTAATTCATAAGTCACCAGGCATAAAATGACCCAATATACATTTTTTAATACTACCACATTTTATTAAATCTAAAATGCCACAGATTAAGACATACCATTATTTTACATACCAGTTTTTAAAAAATCGTCCGTCAGTCTGAGTATTACATAATGCTAAGATGCCATGTGATTGAAATGCATTCCCTCATTCAGAGATTTTAATGTGAAAAAAATAGTCATCTTAGAGTTTCTATGGAGTATGAAGTAGGATATCTCTTCTGCTGTTTAGCCATGCTGACTTTATAATAGCAGTGTTATATTCACTTTGAACAAGATGGGGAAAAATAACATAATATGTGCATTCTTGGAAAATTCTGTGGTCTTCAAAATTATATACCAAAAAACAAAACTTCTAGGAAAAAATAGGATAATGACAGACCACTCAACCTGTAAAGTACTAATAAAAACAGTAATCATCTTAATAAAAATTCTTGCATATTTGAAACAGTACATTAGCTTCTTAATAAATATTCCAGTAAATATAGAACATAACGCTAATAAAAAAATGGTGAAAGCCTGATAAAAAAAAGGTGTAAGAAAGAGTTAAGGGGTAATGTTGCAAATCAAGCAATGAGCACACACAAAGATAGGACATGTGGCCAAACTGAGCCAAGAGGAAGAATGCGGTGCTATTACAGTATATTACAGTATATTACAGTGTAATCGTCTCTGGTTGGTGTTTTTGCATTTTGTACCTGCTGCTATTATGCAGTGATACAAAACATTGTTGGGGGCGTGGGGAATCTCATAAACCAAAGCAACTTGAATAATATACCTTCATTATTCCACTATTTATCATTTGGTATGAACTAGTTTGGTTAAGGAGACATGCATTATAGCAGAATAGATTGAATTCTCGCAACTGCTCTATATTTTTCTTAGAAACACAGATGTCCAAGATGTCTTCTGCCTCTTCAGTTTTTCTGATGTTCTTCCCTTCTTTATTATAACTGCTCTAGTCTTCAATGATTACTTAATTTTCTGTGCTTCTGCAGCACTTGTTATCTGTACTACTCATCTGGCTTTTAAAATATGTCATTACATTTTTCTTCTTTGCCTTGCCTGCTAATCTATAAGGCCATCATTAATTTATACTACAAATAGATAGCACTTAGTGCCATGGCCTTCTGAGTATAGGTATTACACTTAAGCAATTGTATTATCTATTGTCTATGTATGCATTATCTTTAAAATTTCAATGTAGTTTTCCTTTCATAGTTTGTGCCTTCCTGAAAACATGCACAAAAGTCAGATGTGGGAATGCTAAGCAATAGACTTGCATGTTATATGTTCTTCCAGAATGCTAAATAATATGAAATTCCTAAGAATACCTTGCTTTTAGAATCCTGTATTACTATTTCTATCCTTCTTAAGTTATTCTTCAGTTTTGTTCCTTCACAATTGAACACAGTCTCCATAAATTGAGTTCAGTGGGCATCCAGTTGAGGCAGAAGAGTCAACACTTTGGGCATACATGATGATTTTCTCCTTTGATCACTTATATTTTGTATATGATACTCAGGCATATATTGGTACTTTGACATTTTGTCTTTTCTCCTTTTAATGAAATATGTAATACCAAGTTACATACTGAGTGATGACACCGCTGGTCCTGCAGACTAGCATAGACTAATGTCTGAAAGTCAAAGCTTTCCGAGTATATGACACTGTTAAACAGTGTCAGTGTGTGATTGAAAGTATGAGCTTTTCAAAAGTTAAGATCTATGATTTTGATAACTTTTGGGTTCAGGAAAAATTAGCAATTTTTGGAAATTGAAAGCTTACTCTGTTTTTAGTATTTTCTTTATGCAAATAAGCAAGTTTGATATAAGGTTTAAATTATTTGTACCAAAGAAGAGAAAATTTCAAAGAAGATGAAGTAGTAGGCAAGCATGCGTTATTGGGAAAGATTGTTTTTGAAAACTGGAGAAAATAAACTCAGGGGAATTGTTTTGGAGATAGAAGGAAAGAAGGAAGATGAAATAAGAGGCTAATGAATAGCAAGGACATTCGAGCAGGATTTAGGGTATGATATGTTTTGTCTTTGTTTTTATCTATTATTATAGAATGTGGGTAAATGGCTGTAGGTAGTAAGCCAGAATCCCTAATTTTTACTTTGTTTGTAAAAAAAAAAAATTAATGAGAAATGGCTGTACTATAGCATTCTTTTATATTTTATATTCTAGCTGCTCAGTTTATTTACTCACGACGTGACAAACCTGTTGTTGAGCCTGTAGAAGGATATGGTTATGAAGATCTGACAGAATCCTCCAATTCTCTTTTGAATCATCAGCTAAGTGAAATTGATCAAGGTATAGTAAAGTCTATCTATGTTTCTTATCTGAAAATGATTAATAATATACTAGAATTTATCAGTTTTGTGATAGTTCATAATAGTGATTGTGGGTAGTAATGGCACAAATGCATTTTATATCATCAAGGAAAATTTAATAATAAATTTTATATTTAATAAAATTTACATTTTAAATATATTTTATGTGGAGTGTATGATTATATAAATATATGGCAATTATTTAGTAACTGGAATTCTTGAATCTTCATCTTCTTATGAGAGAAGCTTCAGTGATTTGTTTTTAGCAATATTTATTGTTTTATAAGCTCTATGTAGAGTTTACGATTAGATTACAGAAGCTATTTTCCTTATAAAACGTTAGGTTCCATAAGGGTGGTGTTTTTTTTTTAATTTAAGTCCAAAGTAACTATACAAGTGTCCTGATTAGTCATATCCATGTAAATTAAGTTTCAAGACAGAACTTGTAAATAGTAATGCCATTGGTTCTGAGTTTGCCTCTTTTCAATTCTCTTACACATTTCAACAAAAATACTTGTATTTTGGCTTTTATCTTTTGTAAATAAATTTCAGACATTGTTTCAAACATATTACTCAAGCTGTAGATTGATGAACAGTGTAGCAGAACTAAAATGGCCAGGCATAACAGTAATGCAGTCGTTATTAGTGGAGTGCAGGGCTGAGTTGATTTGCTCATTCTCCAGTGTGACTTTGTTCTATAGGCATTTATAAACTGAAAATTTATAGCAATTAATTTGAAAACAGAGGAAATGTAAGAATCTGAGACCCCATCATTGAATAAATCAGTTAAATATATATCAACTGTTAACCAAACCAAGAAAAATGGAGAGAAAGCACAAGCAGACAAAATTAGAAAGCCTAAAGGGAAACAACAGATATAGAATCAAAATATCAACTGTAAATACATTTTATAATCTGGATAAAAGTCTGTAGAGGAACTGCTATGTAGACTCTTTAATAGTTTTTGATTGTAGTTTGAAGAAAGTATTGTAGTTGTTACTGTGGGGTGAGAGGGTAGGAATAAGTAGAAGTCTTACACTTTTTCTGTTATGCCTCAGAATCGTTAAGAAGGTATGAAATTCAAAGTTATGTTTGAGATTGAAAGTTAATCATTCCCACCTGATGTATGTAAGTAATTGCATGATAACAATAATAATGATTGTAGCTAACTGTTACTAAATGCTTTCCAGGTACTGTTCTAAATGTTCATATATTAACATATTTAATCTTCACAGCAACCTTATCAGGTGGGCCAGTTATTGTCCTCATTTTATAGAGAAGGTTGTACCAGCTTATAGTAAGTGGCATTGGATTATGAACCAAGACAGCTTGACTCCAAATAGTTGCTCTAATTAATTGGAACAGGCCTTTCTAAGCTATACTAAGTATTCTGTTCCAGTTTCAATAATTCATGTATTTATGAAATAGGTATGGTATAATTTTCCAAGTATAGCTTATTAGCCTAAAAATAATCTTGACCTTAAGCAAAGCAGAATTACCCAAATATTTGAGAAATTTTTCTTTAATACAGTCATGTGCCACTGAATGATGGGGTTATGTTTTGAGAAATGCGTAGTTAGGTGAATGAACATCAATGTGTGAACATCATAGAGTACACTTACACGAACCTAAATGGTATAGCCTATTAGATACCTAGTCTACGTTGTATACCTATTGCTCTTAGGCCACAAGCCTTTACAACATGTTACTGTACAAAACACAATATTAAATCGAGACATGGTAAATAAATATGAGGCTGCTGCTGGCATAACACAGCAGAACGCAGCAAATTGTTTTTCATAAGTAGAGTGCACTCTAAAGTAATGATAAAAAGTATAGTATAGTAAATACATAAACCAATAAAATAGTGTTTTATTATCATTACCAAGTACTTAACTATATGTACTATACCACTGGCAGCACAGTAGGTTTGTTAACACCAGCATAACCACAAACAAATGAGTAATGGGTTGCTCTAGTACCTTGTGATGGCAACGTCACTAGGAAATAGGAATTTTTCAGCTCCATTATAATCTCATGGGACTACCATCATATATGCAGTCAGTCATTGACTGAAATGTTATGTGGCTTATGACTAATTAAAAAAGAAGGCAGTGGAAAAATATCAAATACTTTTTTATTTTTAACAAAGAGATGGGATTGCCAGTAGATTTCTGTTCAACATGCAGGCGTATCAGAGGCAATATAAATTGCATTATGTGAAATGGTTTCATAGAGTAGGGAGTCTGAAAACCTGAGTTCTATTTTGATTGCTGCTATATAAACTTCACAATAGTATTTGATTGTGTTTTTAAAGAAAGTGTTGTCGTTGTCCTTGGGTCTAGTTCCATAATTTTCAGTCATATCTTTATGAATTAGAATTTGCCCGATATATCTAGGTCATAGAGTTATTATGAGGATTAAAAAAGATATGAAACATTTTGAAAACTGTCAAGTGCTATAACAAAATTAATACATTTATCCATTTTTATTCAGTGGCCTCTACCAGCTATTATTTTAGGATCCAGGGATATAAAGTCTCTGCTCTTGTGGAATTTACATCATTAATGAATATTATTAGTAATAACTTTTTATAAATAATTACCGTAGTCATCAGAAAATAAAAATTCTTAAAGATTTTAGATTTCCAGATATAAATTTAGTATTTTTAAAATGAATGTCATTCTTTTTAATCTACTGGACTTCCTTATTTTCATGGCATTTTTATATTAGGTTATCATGCCCTAAAAAGGATGATTTTAGTTTGCTGGGGCAAACCGAAGTTAGCCTAAAATAAAACTTAAAGTAGTAATAATTTAAGAAATTTAAGAAATATATGTAATGAGTGATTTAACTGGGCTCACTAACAAGTTAGAAATATTTTCATACATACCCCTCCCTTTGTACACATGTAAAACATCATCAGTGCAAACATAATCATTATCATTGACTGAAAATAGATATTTCTGTATACAATTTACATTTTTTAAGCATTAGTATTATTTAGGAGACATTTATTATAGCGATTTCTTAATTAATGAAAATGTTCCTCTAATAAGGGAAGATAGGTATATTGTGCATAAAAATATAATCATTATAAGTTTTGCCAAGGAAAAAGGAGAGTTGAACATCCTGTTGTAGTTTCAAATTCTTTTTTTCACATTTAAAGATTGAGAGTTCTTTCATGACACCATTCAGTATAGCTTTGAATTATTGTTGTGTGTTCCAGCTCGTCTTTATTCATGCCTTGATCACATGAGAGAGGTACTTGGAGATGCTGTGCCAGATGACATATTGATTGAAGTAATTCTGAAGAACAAGTTTGATGTGCAGAAGGCTCTGTCAGTGGTTCTGGAGCAAGATAAAATGCAGAATTTGAAGGTCAAGAATGAGGGAGCAATAGCTACAGAAAAGATAGTAAAAGGTATGCTTTTACTTGTTCTGTTTAGTTGTTTTATAGTTAACACTTGAAAGGAGACTTTGATTTGCTAGAGCTGGTAAAAAACGTGGAGAGAATTTTGCATGTTACAATAACGTGATTATCATCAATTGATTTTCTAGTTTATGAATTTTTAAGCTGAGTGCTGTGAAAATCTGTGTTTTGATTATTTCCCTGCTTGTTTTCATAACACAGGATATAGGGGAAATAAAATCAGATTAAAAATAAAATACTTTGTGCTTCTTGTTAGTAGCTTAGAGGGCTTTTTAATTGTTGTTTTTTAACTCTGATGGGTCAGGAGACGGAAATTAATATAGCTTGACAATTAATGTAAAAAAAAACTTTGGGCTTATAGTATTGATAAATGTAATTTTGTTTTATTATTATATCATAATTAATACTACTTTTGCATTTTATAGCCAGCTCTTTAATGTTAAATTTGTGGCATTTGAGATTAATTTGGAATTTATTTGACATATAATGGGAATTGAGGTACCTTTATATTGTTATGAGATCTGTCAGTAGGAGCATAGTGATTTGTTAACGGGGTTGATATTTCCTGTAAGCTGAGGACTCGAGTTTTGCCACAACAAAGTTACATGAAGTCCGCTACCATGAAATAGGGTTTTTTTTTTTTTTTTCCTGTTTAAATTTAAAAAATTTATGAGGGATGTACTTTCAACTGACCAGTCTGAGAATGAGTATATTATATGTCATCTGTATTAATAGTTTATCTTAGATCATGGTAGAAATTATAGGGTGGTGTTTCCTTGTTTTTAATACATTAAAAATACAGAAGATGAACCTAATTCTTTCCATTGGTCTTTTAGACATTTCGAATTTGAGATAATCCTGACTATAATTTAAATGTTAAAACCTTACATAAAATTTTTGGAAATTAGAACATTGACTAACTTGGTACTTATATTTGTATATATCAGTGAACAAAGTGTGAAGTCACTTTAGGTGGTTAAAAGAAGGTAAAATTTCTTTATTATTATTTTTTAGAGTGTTCCCTTTTTATTAAATAATGATCAAGTATCACTTTATTCATGTCGTAATCAAAAGAAACATTTAGTAATTAAATGCCTCATTTCATGTTTCCTTTTGGTTGCTGTGACTGTCTTCTGCATATGTGAACCTATTCATCTGAAAATTAATGGCTCTTGTAAGGTAAGGCGTCTTATTACCTTCCTCTGAAGTTTCAGCTGATAATGTTCAAAGCTCTTGTCCTCAGTCCCCTAAACATTTGGATTGCAGTAGCAAACCATTTGATTTTTTTGGTCCAGTAGCAAAATATGGATTATATCATAATTCCTCAGTTGTACCAAGTCACTATTTACTCTTGAAAAAAAGGAAACTATACAGACCTAAAAGTGAAAAGAAACTAGAATCATGTAAGTTAACACAAGAACTGTCACTAGCTGACCTAATGGATGATATGCCAAGAGATTCTGATAAAAGTCAGCCATCAGTCAGATTATCATCCACAGATAGTCTGGAAAACCTTTCAAAGAGTCTAGATGCTGATTTGTTAAGACCTCATGCATCCGAATGTGTTTCCAAAGATGAGTCTGCGTTCAAAAGAATACCGGATTTAAAATCCTTAATGATGAGGAGCACGACACCTAATAACTCTTTATTTATTCAAAATAATTCACTACCTGATTTGCAAAACATTCCAGTACAAAACAGTTTAGGAAGTTTAAATAATCCTTTCCTCCCAACTAGCTCATTGGAAAATGTGGCTCTTGATAATTTAAATGCTCGTAAAATAACTGAAATTGGAGATGTTTCTTCAGTTGAACAAAGTGCAAAGAATTACATTTTAGAAAATGACAATTTGCAGTTTTGCCAATATGAAGGTCCATCTCTAGCTGAACTGTTTCAGGACCACAAAGAAAACAATCCAAGCCAGTACTTTACTTTATCTAATCTTTGTAACCAGTCACCTGCCAGTTTCACAGATCTAAGTTTAGGATCCTTTCCCCTGTCACAACTAGCAAATCGGTATCAGTCTTCAACTGGAATATCAGAACTAACAGGATCTCTATCATCTCTGGCATTTCATAAAGCTTCCCCTACAAGAGACCTTGAGAATTTGTCACTTTCTGATTTGATTGCAGAAACAATTGACATAGACAACTCTCAGATTAAGAAAGATTCTTTCAAGCTCAGTTTATCTGAAATGAGGTCACCTGGAATAGATTCAAATATTGATCTCAGTGTCCTTATAAAATCCCCAGATCTTGTACCAAAACCTGTGGTAGACCAATCAGTTGTTCCAACACCAGAAACTAAAGTTCTAAATTCGAAGCTAGAGAAGAATTTCATTTCTGCCAGGGATAATAAGAAAAACAGTAAAGGCTCTCTGAATAGGGAACCACCTTTTTCTTTGTCTTGGACCAAAGCCCTTGCTGCTAGACCTTCAGCTTTTGCTTCAACACTGTGTCTACGTTACCCATTGAAAAGTTGCAAGCGACGCACCCTTGACCTCTACAAGACCTTTCTTTATAGTAGACAAGTTCAAGATGTAAAGGACAAAGAAATAAGCCCTCTTATAACAATAACACCATTTGACTTCAAATCAGCATCTCCTGATGACATTGTAAAAGCTAATCAAAAGAAAGTTTTTACTAGAGAATAGTAACAAAAGGAAAACTTGATAACTGTTGTAGAGCTTTTTATTTTAAAATAACTTAAAGTCTTTATAGGATTACTTTATATTATGGGATTTAAGCTGTGATTTTTATATTAAAATTGTCTTAAGTTAGTTGGTATGTATTTTTGCACTGGAATTTCTTTTTTTTTACTCTTAGCAATAACTGGCTTTATTTAAGTTGATAGACTATAATAATGGTGTATGTTTACAAAGTGCATATGGAAACTTGATATTGTGAAATCAAACCTCAGATACAGTATTTTTGTCTGAATCATTCAACTTTATTATAATGAGACATTTTCTTTTATAAAATATTTTTGTGCTTCGTTCTTAAATGAAATGCCATCACATAAGATTATTATAGTTTAGTAATGAAGATTTTTCTTATACGTGGCATAGCATAGCTGAGACACAATTATATTTTAAAATATTAGTGATATCATTCTCATTTTTTTCCTGTAGGCAGATACTAACATTTTTTTATTAGAAAATCTTAACATTCCTGACTTAAGAATACTGTAGAATTGTTGAAATACATTTTTGTTGAAAATAAAATGAAAATTCTTTAAAGGGACCATGTAAATATTCAAATTGGATTAATACATAAATTATTTTTATACATTTTCAAAACCATTTGTCCTAAATGCACACTTTAAAATAAATATATAGAAAGTATTTTCAAATATAGTTGCATGTTCTTTGAATAGATAATTTTATCAGATCTCTAACTTTTTTTACTATAATGAGATAAATGTGGCGTTTTTCTTGTTGCTGCTGATAGCTGTGTGTGCTAAAATCAAAGTTTCAGCAATGGCAGACCAAATAAGAGCTCTTATGTCAGTAGAACAAGTATGTAATTCATCGCTTAAAGCATTTTCTTCACCTAGCAATCAGAATCACTGGGGGAATTTTTTCAAAAGACAGGTATTGTAGATTCACTTGAGACAGGGTCAGTCAGTCTCTAAGGTATGGCATTTGGGAATGTGTATTTTTTAAATAGTCCCTAGGTGATTCTTATGTATTACTTCTACAAGAGAACTATTGCCCTAGAGAATTAAATAAGAAGAATGAAAGGAATTACTAATGCTTAGAATAACATCTGACCAACTTTAATTTATAATTCATATTTTCTAGGAATCAGGAATACCAAGAAAAATTGCTAATTAGAAATTATAGTCTTTTGCATAAGATGATGCTGATATATTATTAGTATTTCTTGCAAAAAAAAGTGTCTAAAATATTACTTCTTAATAAAAATAAAATAGCTGGCTATTTCCCAGTAAAGAAATATTTTCTCTGGCAGCTACTTCACTGTACTTTTGATAATTTTTTTTTTTTCTATTTCTTGTTTCTGTTTATTTTCACAATGACATTCTAATCTTTTTAGCTATGTATGATGTTTATAGTCACTGTTTTGGTGGGAAAACTTAGGCCAGCATTATGTCTTCATTGTTCTTGACCAAACACCTTCTTTTGATGTCTTCAGGTTTTATTTTTAATTGCATATTTCATTTTGCATCATACTAATGCTTAGGAGATCATATAAATCACATACTTTATGATTGATTTTAAAGTTTGAATTACCCCAACTACTGATTTTGTTTTTCTAGTCTTGAACCTTGATCAAACATTTCAATAATTTTAAACTATTAATATATGACTCAACTGGATTTATATATAGGCAGTCTCCAACTAAGAAGTGAATTGTGTTCTAAGAGTTTGTTTGGAACTAACAATAATATCTGATAGAGTAAGTGCTACACAAGTGGTCCACTTTGCACATGACTCTACAAGTACTTACTTAACCAATATTGAAGTTGAATTGTATGGTACCTTCTTTTATAACCAGTTTTCAAGCGGAAATAACAATTCTTTTTAAGTCACATAGTAGATCTTGTAAAATGAATTAGATCTCCCTTTGTTGGCTGCTTAGGATTACAACTACCATTTATGAGGTTTTTTTGTTGTTTGTTTTTTAGTGGAAAATTAATGTTTTCCTATTTTACTTGTCATGGCTACTGGTCTCAGGCATGTATATGGTATGTACTTGCTCTGTTGACCTAGGAAGTGTCACAGTCTGAAATTTAGAGGCTGGAACCAAGAAGACCCGTTTGCTCCTTCTACCTTTGGCTATTAGCCCTTGTTAGAGACAGTGGCTGCTTGTTCATGGATACACTCTAGTGACAAAGATTGCTTGCATTAAGTGCATATTCTGCACCAACCACTGTTCATTGACTAACTACTGCCTTATATATGCTAAGTGTTTTTGGTTTATTTTTTAGTTCACATACTAATTTTGAGATGCAAAGCCATTTTGATTTGCATTATGATCAAATGCATTAATATTTCATTTCAGGACTAGAAATAACATTGTAATTACATTCTAAGTGATGTAAAATAAAAAACATTTAAAATTACCATTTTACTCTTTTTTTGTTTTTGAAAGATCTGATGTTCGTGGATGTTTTGTCCTTTTGCATTCTCAAGTCTTTGGTTGGCTTTCTTGGTTATGGATCTTCTTACCAGGGAGTGCCAAGAACTAGGGTTTCACTTCTGTATAGAACACTTTGCTTAACTTTTCTTTTTTTTTTTTATTTTACCTTTTTCTTATTTCCTAGTTACTAAATTGACATTCTGACACCTTTTTCTCCCTTTTGTTTTGAATCCTTCTTTCTTGAACTTTTTTTTCACCCTTTTTCTTATCATATAAGTAATAACTTCCCAGTGTGTTATATTTAATTTTTAGTATTCATTGGAAAGTCATGCAACTAATTGTCACATCAAGGATAAAACTAGCACAGTACTTTTCTTTGTATATAAAAGGAAGCTCTTTTAAGATAAACACAGGAGAAAAATATTTGATTCTCCTATGATTATTTACTTTTTAAACTGACCCAGAATCTCTATATGGACTATTGCAAATAAATAAGTACACAGATGTCTATTGAGGAAGAACTGTTTATCAAGTTTTCTGTTTTGTATTCACATAAGTATATTTTGGGTTATAAAATCAGTTTTGTAGTAACCTAGAAATGGTTTTCTGTTACATAGAGATAATGTTGACTAGACAGTGATTGATACGAATTTCTTTACTAGTTTTCTTTTATAATTATATAAGGCTCAATATATGCAGTTGTATATTATAATTTTTAGTTGTTAGGGTATAAAAAGACATTGCATTTTGAGTGTATACATAGTTTTGTAAAAGCTACATTGAAATCAATTATGATTCTGAGATTTTTCTTAAATCAAGTGTGAAAACATATGACAATTTACCCATTAGAATGTTTTGTATAAGCTTGATATTTCAGAATGGTATTTTAATAATATATGCTGAAGGTATTACTTTGTTTCTATAAACAAATTAAAAACAAACTGCCTGGTTATGCAGAATTTCTTTTAAGATATTTGTCATTTAGAATTCTTACTTTCCAAAAGGTAAAATTTTATATATCTTTACATTTTTGGACTCACAGAAAAACATTATTAAAAAAGTATAGATTATTGTGAATATGAATAATGTACTTGCAAAGATGGCGTGGAAGGTAAAAGAATTGAGAAGTGCACATTTCTGCTGTTGACATGCCTGGTTTATATTTATTATATGACTTAAAGGAAACCATCATTTTAGTTGTAGGAGATACACCAAGATGAATAAGATATGATTCTTACTCTGAAAGAGTGGAGGATAGGAGTACGGAAACACAAAATTATATTACACTGTGGCATATAGAACATTCCGCGCTTCATAGCTGACATCTTTGCCTTCCTGATCTAATCTCCCACCACCTCCTATATTTCCTATCTTTATTAGTGGTATCAACATTTTCCAATTGCTTAAGCCAGAAACCCAGGTGACATCATCCTTGATTTCTTTTCTTCATATACTTCTTATAATTGATTACCAGTCCTATGGTTTCTCTTTTACAAAGTAAACATACATGTGTACATATTACAGTTGATTGCTGTTATTTGTGGTAGTTATGTTTTATAAAGCCATAAATTAACAAACACTGAGTGAATGAAATACGTGTACTGACTTAATGAATACTGATCCATTACTCCTATATGAAGTACAGGGTTAGGTTCCGCTGTGATTCTCTGGTCACAGTATTTTTGTCGATTAGTACACAACATTATTTTATATATCTGTTAAAGATACTTTAATATGTATATTGTTTACTTGTTATCAATTCATTAACATTGAACTCATGGCCAATGGCACTATAACTCTTGCCTGAACAAAGCTTATCTAACACATCTTTTCATAAGGCACATAACTGCTGCCTTGTTCTTGGGAACACTAAACAGCACTTTATCACTACTCCTGGGGGTTCTTTTAAGCAGCAAAATTACCAACTAAAAATCACACTGAAAAATGTGACACTAAGGAGTTATGAAAAGGACACTTGTTTACAGTATGGGAGCTGAACCAAGAAGGCAGGGTATTACCTTGTTCTACCTCAGCTGGGAAAATCAAATATTTTGCTCTGTGCACTTGTCCTCAAGTTACTGGAAAGTGCCACAAGTAGTGATTTTGGAATTATAAATAAATTTTAGCGAGTAGGTGAATTTGCAAATATGGAATCCGCTAATGATGAGGATTGACTGTACATTTTTCGACTCACTACACTCTCCTTAATGCTAGTTCTTATAAAGAAAGCCCCATTAACTTTGAGCAGGGTTACTGAAACATTTAACTGGTTTCTTCTCAGTTTATTTACCCCAAAACACTTTCTTCACTACAGCCAGAGTAACTTTCTCAAAATATAGCTTTAATTTTCTGTTTCCGTGTATAAACCCTTTAAATTATTTTATAAGAACTCCTATGAACTGGTTTGTTTGTGTGCCCCCCCTACCCAAACCTATCAAGAACACCTACCAGAGTTTCCTCTGCTTTAGTCCCTCTCCTGCCACTTCTACCCTGGTTAATGTTAATTTCTCTTCTGCAAGACAATTTTAAAAAATTACTTGTTTTTTTTTAACTTTTTTTTTTTAAATTACTTGTTAATTTCTCTTCTGCAAGACAATTTTAAAATATTACAGGTTTTTTTTTTTTTTAAATATTTGACCCTTTGATCCAGCTGCTACTAGGGGGTAAGGTAGGAATTTAGTTTCTTTACCAATATCTTACTCTTTCTAATAGCTGATATTTGTCACAGTGCCCTCTGGTGAATTACTCATCATTTTTCTTTTTTAACCTTATTTGAAAAGCCATCTTTGACATGTACTGAATTTTTCTCTGTTCATCTGTCTGTCTATTTTGGGGCCAATAATTTGTCTTCCATGCCAATACCAAATTGTTAATTACTGTAGTTTTTTATTATTTTGTAGGCTATCTCGTTTAGTATTAGTATTTTGTAGGCTATCTTGTTTTTTCTCTTCTTTTTCATAGTTTCACTGAATTATCTTACATGGATCTTTTTCCCACAGGAGCTTTAGAAAGAGCTCGTCAAGTTACTGAAAAAAATCCAGTTGTAATTCTTATTGAGATGTTTAATGTTATCAAAAGATTTTTGGAGAAAAAATATACTGTTTTCATAGATACAAAAGGCCTTAGGTACATTATATTGTTAAACATTGTTATTTTAATAGATTTTCTAGTATTGATCTAGTCTTGGAACAATCTTAATTGGTCATGGTGGATTCTTTTAATGTGATGGATCTTATTAGCTTTTAAAATAATTAACTTCCACAGCTGAACATCTTTTTTTTTTTAAACAAAATAAATAAATAAGTAAATAAGTAAATAAGTAAATAAATAAATAAATAAATAAAAAAAGATGAAGGGCTTATTAGGCCATTGCTAGTAAATAAATAAGACCTGATTTGGGGCATGGAGTCTAAACCACCAGCAGCATGACTAGGTAAGAAAGACGACATGTCTTGTCATCCCAGAGTTTTGTAAGCATTCTTATACATCAGGTTGAATGGAGGGAGATGTAAGCTGTTCTGAAAGGATTCGCATTAGGCAAAGGAAAGGGAGAAAGTGAAAGAGGGCTAATTGTGGGATAGGTGCAGCAAAGTCCGCAAGGAAGAAGTGTCTGCTCGCTGGCTACTGTAATTTTAATTTAGAACATCTCAGATTTTTTTTCTTGTCATTGCTAATATTTAAGATTATTTCATCTATTTATAAAATTAAATTACAGTTATGTGTGTGTTCTTGGTCAGATTTTGGTTTCTCTTGTGATGTTTAGAGATTTTGGTTTCTCTTGTGATGTATAGAGAATTTAGAAAGTTTTCCTTTATCCTTAAGTAATTTGAAGAGCATTGAAATTATTTGTTTCATGATAGGATTTATCCTTCTCAATATTTTAGAGTCAATTTTGAAAGTTGTAATTTTATTAGAAAACCATTCCTTTCATCCAAGTTGGCAAATGGATTTGTTTGACATTGTAGTGTGGGGGCTAAGGAAAATTATTTTTCTTCCTACCTTCTAAGTTATAGCTGGGTTAATAATTCAAATAAAATACAGCAGATTAACAGGAGAAAATCATGTTTTAAAATGTGTGCTGGGGAATTCACATAAGCATGAAAATTCCCAAAGACAGTGAGGTAAAATTTTGTATATATGTCTTTTTGGACAAAAAGGAAAGAGGGAGCAAGGGAGCAGGGTATGAGATTTCAAAGGAAATAGGCAATTTGCATGTTGTCGACGAAGAGCAGAACACATATGACAGGCAAATTCTTGTTTCAGTGCTCCTGGCTCCTGCCTGGAGCCCTCCCATCTACCATACTCAATTCAAATTAGGCTAAAACGAACATGCTTAGATTTTCTTCCTGGAGTAGGCCTTCTGATCTGATCTCTTAGACAGGAAATGGGAAAGGTCAAAGGTTCTTCTGAATCTTGTTTCTTAATAACCAGCTTAAGATCAATATCCTAAAAGGCACAGTTTTGGGATAAAACATTGTCTTATTCTTTTAGATTCTTCTATACCATGGTTATATCTCTATTCTTATTTTAAATATTTTTTTCTTTTCTCTACTTTCTCCTTTTGCCAGCTTTTTTTCTCTTGATTTATTGCCTTGTAATTTATTTTCTCCCTCCAGAGATTGGCTCCTAAATTGATTAGTTCTCCTGGTTTTAATTCATTAGTGAGTTGATCTGTTTATGACCTAATCTTTTCTCCATTTTTTATTTTCTAGTTTTCTGAGTGGAACATTTAATTGACCTTAAATGCATTTTTAATTGTTTATCTTAAAAGTTAATTAATTGATGAAATTTCAAACATAGAAAATAATATAACAAATACTCATGGACCCGCAATTTAATTTTAACAAGGTAACATTTTGCCACGCAGGTCAGATTCCATTCTAACAAGAAGTAAATTGTTAGATTGGAATTCTAGCTTCACCTTTTGCGTGTTCCTCTCCACTACCTTCAAGTTGATGTGCATTGTTCCCATTCTCTCTTATG